AAAGATCAGTGCTTGGGTCAATAACATTACCGCTTCAGGTGGGGCCATAAATTTTTGACACCAAATTCTACGTCATGGATATCCATCCAGCTTATAGCTTCCTTCTTGGGCGCCCATGGATCCACGCTACAGGGGCCGTAACATCCACATTGCATCAGAAGTTGAAGTACATGGTGGGTGATAGTGTTGTTACCGTTTACGGGGAGGAGGACATTTTGGTCAGTCACCTGTCTTCGTTCAGATATGTTGAGGTCGACGGAGAAATACACGAGACACCTTGTCAAGCCTTCGAGGGGTTGCGGATTAAAGACAAAACTCAGGGTCCCAGCAAAGTGCCAGAGGTGGCAGTGTCATCCTACAAGGAAGCTCAAGCTTTAGTACAGACTGGTGAGACTAAAGGCTGGGGGCAGGTACTGGAGATTCCCGTGAAGAATGACAAGTTTGGGCTAGGGTATCGACCGACATCGTCAGCGTCATCTTCAGGAGCGCCCAGGTTCAAGGGACCGATAACGATTACGCCAAGCGGGGTGTGCTTTGAGACAATCAATGCTATTTCCGATGTTGAAGACGTAGATAGTGACTGCGATATAGACACGTGGATCAAGCCGAGCGTGCCAGGACAAAGTCTCTGCAACTGGTCCATTCGGGAAACTGTCCCAGTGACATTTAAACAGTAATGATTTTTTTTGTCAATTGTTGAATAATCCTATGTCCTACCCGGGGCATAGTGATTTTACCTTAGGGCTACTTGATTATGTGTACCGCACTGTTTTAATCATGAAATAAAGGCGTTTTTTATATACAAATATTGTGATCCCTGTTTTTCTTGTTTTTTACTTTAACAATAAATGGCAATGTGGTTATTTGCTTTGTTAGCGTTTTGAAGCATTTAACCATTTCCTTTGCAGGACTAATATTTCAGATGACACCTTCTACGAACCGCCTATGACTCGTTTCGACTTCGAGCACCCGGTATTCCAAGTAGAGGAAGAGATTGTTGAGGATAGCGACTTGCCAGAGGAGCTGACTCGTTTGTTGAAACAGGAAGAGAGAATCATTCTGCCTCATCAGGAGGAAATTGAGATTATCAATTTGGGGTCGGAAGAAGTTGTGAGAAATATCCGTATAGGGGCTGCGCTGCAGAGCAACATCAAGCAAAGGCTGATTGAGATACTGCGAGAGTATAGTGATATATTTGCTTGGTCGTACGAGGATATGCCTGGGTTCGATACGGACATGGTTGTGCACCGTCTGCCGTTGCGAGAGGAATGTCCGCATGTTAAGCAAAAACTCAGAAGAACCAGACCAGACATGTGTCGTACCTCAAAAAATACGATCCTCGCGATGGACGCGGAAAATACTGTTCGAAACAGAGTTGCCACCGAACTTTATTCATTCCAAGGATGGAATAGGAAAATATCGATAAAACCTTAAAAGGGATAAGAACATGGTCATCGCAACCAATATTCTAGGTTCGGGAGTCGATTACATAGAGGGAAGGTATTAGCACCCTCTACGTCCGTTGTACTCAACAGGAACCTCTTGATTCGATTCGCGAGAGAAAGTTAACTATGTTCGTGTATCTTCTAGGGAATTGCTTACTAAAGGGGAAATGGGTAGTTTGAAGATAGTGTGCTCGCCAAGGATTGGGGCCCTTGTGCCTACGTATCTTCGCTTGTAAGAAGTGGAAAATCAGAGCATTCGTAGTTCGTGGGACTACGGGTAAAGGTTTAGGGATTGTGCTCGCCAAGATCATCGCAATCTTGTGCCTACGTATTCTCATTGATAAATGAGAAATCAGAGCAGCCATAGTTCGGCTTACGGTTTGCTAAAAGGTTTGTGTTTGGAATGAACGAGAATTTGGGTCGCATTCTAACTGCTAAACGTTGGCTTGCTTGCTCGCTAGGGGAGGCTGAAACACAAGTTTGTTATGCGCGGAAGAAGGGACTAAACAATGTTCTTGGTGAAAGGATTATTTGAATGGTAGGTCACACGAGGGCGAGGAATAGTGTTTGTAAGTATTGGGATATTTAACTAGAAGTGACGATTACTTGGAGCTTAAGAAAGACTTCTCGGACCCAAGTAATCGGGAGAGTGAACCAAAGACTCGGAGCTCTCTCTTTTTCAACCTCAAATGCGAAAGGATAGAATTGAGTATGGTTTGAATGAGTTGAACGGATGACAATTACTTGAAGCTTAAGAAAGACTTCTCGGACCCAAGTAATCGGGAAAGCGAACCAAAGACTTGGAACACTTTCTTTTTCATCGCAAAAGGAATTGCTTCAATGGCGTTTGAGAGATAGGATGCGGTTAAAGTATTTTAACATATGAGGATTATTCGAAGCTTAAGAAAGACTTCTCGGTCCTCAAGTAATCGGAAGAGTGAACCAAAGACTTGGAACTCTCTCTTTTTCTCATCTAATATTATGAAAGATGTTTAATATAATTAGAGTGTATTAATCGGATGACGATTACTCAAAAACTCAAGAAAGACTTCTTGAATTTTAAATAATAGGGAAAGCAAGCCAAAGACTTGGAACACTCTCTTTTTCATCCTAGGTATTTAGAAAAAAAAGACTCGAATAAATTTATCGTTTTTAGAAGGGTTTTTTTTTATGACAATTGTTCGAGCTTAAGAAAGACTCCTCGGACCCAAACAATTGGGAGAGAGAACCAAAGACTTGGGACTCTCCCTTTTTCATCGAAGTGTTGAAATTGCATTCGAGTAGTTATTAAGTACATCAAGTTTGATTTGAGAAAATACTCGATATGAATCGAGGTTTTAAGTTTGCGTATGGAACGAGCAAAGTTGAACTAAAGGATATGGGGTCCTATAAGGTAAGGTCGATGACGAGGCCAAAGCACTCGACTTACAAGGAGAGTTAAAGGTTAATTGCACTTGTCGTTGTACAAAGCCCAAGAGGAGGCTATAAGGTCGATGGCGATCGTAAAAACAATCGGCTTACAATGGGGTTTGAAAATGGGCTTGACATTAAGTCAAGATATTAGTTTTTTTTTATAATCGGTTTTGAAAATGTGCACAACATAAATATAATTGAAATTTAATAATCAAGCATGCACAAACATCACACAAAAGGTCATAAATTAAATAAAAATGGAGAATAGGTTAACTTAGTTAAATACCTAACTATCTAAGATTAGTAAAAGAAGAATTCAAATTAAATTGTTTTAGATTATTCTAGAATTTAAAGAGAAAATAAATAATTAAGATAATTATTAAATTAAAATAGAAAATAAAATTAAGATTAAGTATTTTTATGTTGTCTTAGAATTTAAGAGAAAAAAAAGCTAATTTAGAATAAATAATCAAATTAAAATCAATTATTTAATAACATTAATAATCAAATTAATTAATTATTATTAAATAAAAATTTTAATTAAATTAACTAAATAATAATTCAAACTTCTCTTACAAAACAGAAATTTAAATAATGTTTTTTTCCTGAAATTTTGTTTTAAAACATTATACTAAAAAGATTAGCAAGGACGCAGGGGATAAACACACGCAGCTCACGGTGAAGGGATGGGCCGGTGACACTTGTCACCAGCAGGATACACCTACATACACCAACAGGTGGCAACGGTCACGAGGGAAAAAAGCTCGTCTCAAATCACAGAGACCCTGTTCTATCTCCCTCTTTCAAACCCTCGACTAACCGTTCTCAAACCCTCTCTCTTACAATAGCATCTCGCTGAAAAAACCCAGCTCAAGGTTGGGGATGGCGGTGGCAGCGACGATCACCGCCTCCTTCTCCGGCGACAAAACCCCACACACAAAAAAACAAACCCTTTAAACAAAACCGAGCTTAGATCTCCCTAAAACTCAGCCAAACTCTCGAATCTAAGCCATTCAAAACTGAAACCCTAGTTCTTCAAATAAATTAAAACCGCACAAATCAATGTGGAAGGACCAACAAAATCAAGTCATGGAACGTCCAACAACACAAACATCAATAAAGGAAATCATGTTTGAAGCGAAACGAGATTTAAGAAAATGGTACCTCTTGAAGATTCTTTCTCGAAGAGCTTTAATGCGATCCCAGGTATTTGTTTCTGATCCCTTCAGCTTCTTTGCTTTATGACGAGTTTGTAGTTCAATACTTCTGAGATAATTTTGGGATTTTTGTATGAAAATACGTTTAGGGTTTTTCTTTCAATTTTCCGCCTCCTTCTCCTCTGAAATCCCCCTCTACTTATATCCACAAGAATTAGGGTTACTTGACTTGCTTTGTAGGGCTTCAGAAATCCCTGTACTGCTACGTTTAGGTTTTGCCTGCTACAGATTTGTTTTTATCTGTTTTGATGTTTAACCCTGCTCTGAATTTTCTGTCACTGATGTTTTTGCCATTTTTACAAATTAAGTGTGTGGTCCCAATTTCTCATTGTTCTGTTGTTCTGATTAAAACTAAGTGCATACTTAAAATTCTGATTTAAGTAAACAATATGGCAGAACGTGACTCAGTTGGATTTTGAGTCATTTGAATTTGTATTGCTTTGCCTAACTCGTATTCCAACCGTGCCATACTCTCATGTGGATCCTTTATTTCATGTGCATGTTTTTTCAGGTGTACACTTGATGTGAGCTCTTTTGCTTAAGAAAAGGCTTGGATGTAACACGACAAGGAGGAATGCAAGGACCATGGATTGATCGGAAGTTCTGGAGCTAATAAAATTCAGCAAAATTGTTCAGATATCCAGACGAAAATTGCTCCAGACCTTCTCAAATTGAAGTCTTTGATTCTAGTTCTAAAAATTTGGATTAGGCCTTGTTCAATCCTATAAAGCCGGCTTAGAAACACATCTAATGTGGGACTGTTAACACGCTCTCCTCATCACATTGAAGACTGAAAATCAGAAGCATAGCCCAAGAGATTCTTGTTGTCAAGGTGATTAACTCAAAGCATTAATCAGAGCATTATTAACACAAGCATTCTTGATCAGTCTGTTTTCTGATCCACCGGTAAGAGCCATGAGCAGTTTTACCAGAAATCTCCACAAGAGCAATCGGCGTCTTTGAAATGGTGAAAACGATTTGTGTCTCTTACAAAAATTTCTCTGTCTTCTATTCTGCTTATAATTTTGATAACAGCATGACAGTCATCACAAATTCTCAGGTTCTTGATCACATGAAGAGATTGTCCGGGATTCGTGTGGATTAGTCCTAATATTACTGCCAGTTTCTCACTGTGACCACACAATATCTGCTCTTTGTCTTGTTCCTCCACATCTTGCAGCACAGATTTAGTCATCGGGAGGTAACCAGAATTCTTAATCTCAATACTCAACTTATCTGACTTCGCCAAAATCTCTTTCATTTGTGGATGTGATTTGTCGCCAGAAAGAAGCATGTGTATCCTCCATCCGATTTCAATCCAACTACAGCCAGGATTTTTTTCTCAAACCTTTATCCTTCATCATATCACGTATTCTATTCTCTTCATCCCACATACCCTTTGAAGCATAAATATTGGAAAGAAGAATGTAGTTCCCAAGATTTTCTGGTTCTAACACGAAAAGCTTCTCTGCCGCAATCTCAGCTAAACTCAAATTATGGTGAACTCTACAAGAACTTAACAAGGCTCTCCATACACAAGCATCTGGTTCAAATGACATTTCCTTGACGATAGAATAAGCTTCTTCTAGTTTTCCTACACGACTGAGCAGCGTAACCATGCAAGCATAATGTTCCATCTGAGGTTTAACATCGTATTCTTTCGACATGCTATTAAAGTAATTCCATCCCTCTTTTGTTAAGCTGTTTTGAGAGCACGCAGATAACACACATGTGAAGGTAATTGAGTTGGGCTTATGGTCGGTTTGCAACATCATATGAAACATCTCAAATGTTTCCTTAGCTTTTCTATGCATAGCATAACCACTCATAACTGCAATCCAAGAAACCATATTCCGAGATGGCATTAGATCAAAACAACGCCGTGATAACTGGATTCCTCCGCAATTGGCATACATATTGATCAATGCACTACCTACATATACATCATCAAAAATTCCCTTCCTGAGAGAAAAACAATGGATTTCCTTTCCATGCGTTAACGCTGAAATATTTCCACAAGCAGGGATCAAACTTGGGATAGCGACAGCATTAGGCTCCACACCATCAGCCTGCATATCTTTGAAAAACTCCAAAGCTTCCATGTCTTTCCCATTCTGGGAGCAGCTAGCAATTATTGATGTCCATTGTTTGCTGTCATAAGATACGACTCAGCTGTTATGGATGCAACGTATAATGTGTTCTTCATTAAGTTACGTTATTTTGTTGCGAGAAACTTCGACGGTCGGAAGGGAGAAAAAAAAAAGGAGGTCTCTACTACTTTCGGTTTAAGCAGTGTGATATTATGTTGCTGCAGAAACAGAAGGATGGTCGTGATGAAGGTTTACGTGAGGATGCGAGTTGGTTTTGTGTGAAGCTGTTCTGTTACGTTTGATATTGAATTGTGCAGATGAATTCCTAAGACAATGTCTCTTGTGATTTGTTCTGTAAAGCGTTCTCTTGTGGACTTGGTTCTGCCTAGTCCCTTGGAGGAATAAATTCATAATCTAGACTCCTTTATCAATTTAAAACCTTTTAGCATCCCTGCTAATACTTATGGCTTTGTCTTTGTTATTTTGCAGGTCCATTTTTGTTGTTGCAGAATGGTAACGGTTTGCGACATTTACGGGAATTCCAACATCGGGGTCCAGGATTGCGTGAAGGTATGCCTACTACAAAGGACCGCCTGTTATGTCTTCTTGCCTTTCTTATGTTTGAAAACTCAATAGGGGAAAAGACTGTGCTAAAAATGGTGCGTGGGATTACCGCTGATTTTATGGGATTTGGAACACTTTTTTCTTTTGTCTGTTCTTTCCATCATGGAACTGATATGGGTTCCAATATTGTGGTGCAGGTGACCACCACTTAACAGGATATGATATTGTTTTTGTTTTACTGTTGCGGTTCAACGGTTGAAAATATCGCGACAGGTTGAAACAACATTCATGCCACGGCTTTTCACCTCGTTGTACTGCAAGTTGAACCACACAGTGAGTTATCTTGAATCATAGATTTCGTATGGTATCTACAATGATTTGGCAAGGTACGTGGGAACTGACGATGCATTGAGGCCTGACTGAGCTCGCGTGATATTGTTCGCTTTGCGGTTTAGGAGATGGCTGAACAAAACAAAATAAAGGCTCGTGGAATTGTAGTGTGAACTGACAGAAACTTGCTTCTTTTTACAAATGAATTTCCATAGTTTGATGATGTAGATAACTAATGTGTGAAAAGTGATATTGAGCCTGGCAACAATAACCTTTTTTTTTAGAAGTTTAGGCATCAATATATCAGTTTGCACATGTGAATGTCATAGACTTGCTTCATCCAATTCCTTCATGAATTCTAATCTTCAAGTGGTCATCCATATCATCACTTTTTATGATACGTAAAAAAAACATGGTGTACAATTGCAATTTATGATACGTCAAAAATCCATGGAGGAATATCCTAAGCTATTCAATTACTTGAGCCCTGAACAAACCTTAAAAACACTTCCTTGTTTAACAAACTAACCTGATGTATGTCACTTGCAAGTTGTTTAATTATCGTCTCATATTACCATAAAAATGATACGTCAAAAATCCTTCAGGGATGTAGGGAAACCTTCTCAGCTTGAACCATAACCATGAGATGACTAAGTGTCTCTTTGATCAGATAGTCGCGAAAATATCATAATTGCACACTTCAACTGAATCATCTCAATAATACTAGAAGATATATTGTAAGCAAGTGCGACACACGTAAAACTAGAACATATCTCCATTATCCTTTTTAAATCTTGTTGTGCACCGGATGTCGAGTTGTCATCTTCATCAAGTATAACAACTTTGCGTCAGTCTAGAAGAAGTGTCACTTTCTTTTGAGCGAACATCTTGATCTTGTTCCTTACAACAACTATCCCTCCATCGTCTGAAACATTTAGTTCAATAACAAACTTCTATATAGTGGGGACTGAGGCTCTAATAGAGATGTAAATGAGCAAGAAGCCAAAGCCAGTTAAGGTTAGAGAAGGATAGGACAAATTTGGGGTATCACAACATGGCTGTGAAAATCAAAGAGGAAGTTCAAAAACAGTGGGATGCTGGTTTCCTAGCCGTTACAACTTATCCGTCATGGGTCGCTAATATAGTACCAGTGCCGAAGAAAGACGGTAAAGTGTGAATGTGTGTAGACTACCGTGATTTGAATAGGGCGAGCCCGAAATACAACTTTCCACTTCCTCACATCGATGTGCTGGTTGATAACACTGCTCAGTTCTCCGTATTCTCCTTCATGGACGGCTTCTTGGGCTATAATCAGATCAAAATGGCGCCAGAAGACATGGAGAAGACTACCTTCATTACTCCCTGGGGAACATTTTGCTACAAAGTGATGCCCTTCGGACTGAAGAACGCTGGGGCAACATATCAACGTGCTATGACGACTCTCTTTCATGACATGATGCATAAAGAGATCGAGGTTTATGTTGATGATATGATTGCCAAATCCCAGACAGAGGAAGAGCATTTGGTTAATCTGCTGAAACTGTTCAAAAGACTTACGAAGTTCAGATTGAGACTAAACCCTAACAAGTGCACCTTTGGAGTGAGATCGGGTAAACTACTGGGGTTTATTGTGAGCGAAAAGGGAATAGAGGTTGATCCTGCGAAGATAAAAGCAATACAAGAAATGTCGACGCCTAAAACAGAAAAAGAAGTGCGTGGGTTTTTAGGGAGATTGAACTACATTGCTCGGTTCATATCTCACCTAACTGCGACATGTGAGCCGTTATTCAAGTTGTTGAAAAAGGATCAGGTGTTGACCTGGAATGAAAATTGTCAAAAGGCGTTCGACAGGATAAAAGAATACTTGCAGGAACCTCCTGTTTTGATACCCCCAGTGGTCGGGAGACCTTTGATTATGTATTTGACGTTTCTTGAGGAAAGTATGGGTTGTGTTCTCGGTCAACACGACGAGACCAGACGTGAAGAGCATGCGATTTACTATTTGAGTAAGAAGTTTACCGACTGTGAGTCCAGATACTCAATGCTCGAGAAAACGTGTTGCGCGCTAGCCTGGGCCGCCAAACGTTTGAGGCAATACATGCTGAATCATACAACCATGCTAATTTCAAAGATGGATCCAATCAAATATGTGTTTGAAAAGCAAGCACTCTCCGGAAGAATTGCCCGATGGCAGATGGTGTTAACAGAATACGATATCCAATATGTCTCGCAAAAGGCTATTAAAGGTAGCGTTTTGTTAGAGTACCTTGCTGAGCAGCCAGTTGAGGACTACCAATCGATGAGGTTTGATTTTCCTGACGAGGATATCATGTACCTGAAAATGAAAGATTGTGAAGAACCGTTGCCGGACGAAGGACCAGAGTTGGGTTCCAAGTGGCAGTTGATATTTGACGGAGCGGTTAATTCCTATGGTAGCGGAATAGGTGCAATTATCACTACGCCTCATGGGTCGCACATCCCATTTACTGCCCGATTGACTTTTCCCGTTACCAATAATGAGGTTGAATATGAGGCTTGCATCATGGGTCTGGAAGAAGCCATTGATTTGTGAATTAAGAACCTGGATGTGTATGGAGACTCGTCTCTAATGGTGAATCAGATTAAAGGAGAATGGGAGACACGTCAGCCCAATTTGATACCCTATATGAATTATGCAAGGAGATTGTTGCCTTTCTTTGACAAGGTGGAATTGCATCACGTGCCACGAGCAGAAAATTAAATGGCTGACGCCCTGGCGACATTGTCTTCAATGTATAACGTTAACTTCTGGAATGAGGCTCCCCGGATTGTCATCTCTCGGCTTAATAGGCCAGCCTTCATATTTTCCATTGACGAGGCTCTCGATGGTCAACCCTGGTACTTTGACATCCAGAATTTCCTAAAGAACAAGGAGTATCCGGCTGGGGCATCCAGTCGAGATCAGAAGACTCTCAGGAGATTGGCTGGCAATTTCTATCTGAATCCGGACGATGTCCTATACAAAAGAAACCACGACTTGGTGTTGCTACGCTGTGTAGACGAGAAAGAGGCGAAGTTGCTCATGGAAGAGATACATGAGGGTACATTTGGTACACATGCTGGTGGGCATGCTATGACAAGAAAGCTGCTGCGGGCAGTTTACTATTGGCTGACTATGGAAACAGACTGTTTCAAGTTTGCAAACAAGTGTCATAAATGCCAGATTTATACGGACAAAATCCATGTGCCTCCAAGTCCTCTGGATGTGATGTCATCACCGTGGCCTTTCTCGATGTGG